TTATGCGGATAACATTAAACAGGAGCAGTTATCAGCATGTTTAATCAACAACAATAATCAAGCGGTCGAAAATGATGAGAATATTTGGAGTGTACGGCACAGGAGGGATTCAAGGAGAGGATATCGCGGCGGCGCAGGTGGCGTGAGCGCGGACGCGCGCATTGGCGGACGCGGCGTACGCGGCGGCGCGACCCGCTCGGCCCAGCGCCCGCCGCCGCGCGCTCGAGGCGAGCGTGCCTTCACGGGTTCGACGCTTTGGGTGAAGCAATGTGGGCATTGTGGCAGTGTACATAAAAAGTTTGAGTGTCCCGCGTATGGCAAGCAGTGTCTAAGATGTGCGAAAATGAATCACTTTGCCAGAGCCTGTGTTGCTAGAGTATTCAATGTCGAGGAGTCTGATGAGCAGGTAATACATACTGTAAAATCTAGTAGTGAGTGGAATGTAAACCTAATGATTAATAATAAGTCTATTAATTTTAAATTAGATACTGGGGCAGATGTTAATATATTGCCGTTGTATTATTTGCCACAAATTGGGGTCTCGGATAAAGATTTGCTAAAAACAAATACCAAGTTGTCTGGCTACTCGGGCACCGCCATAAAAGTAGTAGGAAAAATCACTTTAAAGGTTTATTACAAAAGTAAAATGTACATGCTAGAATTTAAAATAGCAGATGTTAAGTCTATGCCAGTGTTGGGCAGGTTTGCGTGCAGTGAGTTGGATATGGTGAGGCGCGTGATGTCGATACAGGAGGATAGCGGAGTTCCCTCATTTTTAGGGCAGTATGACGACGTTTTTCAGGGTATAGGGTGCTTACCGGGGAATTACAGAATAAAATTACATGAAAATGTTGGTCCGGTTGTTCATGCTCCTAGGAAACTACCGTTCGCGATCAGAGACAACGTTAAGAAGAAATTGGAAGAGATGGAAAAACAAGGTATTATAGCCAAAGTAGAGGGCCCATCGGATTGGGTAAGTAGTTTAACCATTGTTAAAAAAGCTAACGGAGACATACGAGTTTGTCTTGATCCGAAAGAATTAAATAGCGCGATCAAAAGAGAATATTTTAGGTTACCGTCACTCGACGAGATTGTATCAAAACTTTCCGGTGCTAGGTATTTCAGTACTCTGGATGCGGTAGCAGGGTTCTGGCAGGTAGCTTTAGACGATACTAGTGAGTTGTGCACGTTCAACACTCCCTTTGGACGTTACAAATTCTTAAGGTTACCCTATGGCATATGCTCGGCACCAGAGGTGTTTCATAAAAAAATATACGAAAATTTTGATGACTTAGATGGAGTTTGTATGTACATCGACGACTTATTAGTATACGGTTGCAGCAAAAAAGAACATGATGAAAGATTAAAATTAGTATTGGACAGGTGTAGGAAAGTCAACCTCAAACTAAATAAAAATAAGTGCAAATTTGGGTTAGAAGAAATCAGGTATTTGGGACACAGGATTACAAAAAAGGGGCTTTATCCGGATAACTCACACATTACAGCAATAACGAACATGCCTAAACCTGAAAATAAAAAGGACGTAGAGCGATTACTAGGATTAATTACTTACGTGGGTGCTTTTATACCAAATTTATCTGATAAGACATTGTTGTTGAGAGTGTTGTTAAAAAAAGAAACGGAATGGCACTGGGATGAAAGACATGATGAGTGTTTAAAAGTTATAAAAGAGTGTTTATCAAAACCACCAGTGTTAAGATATTACGACTTAGACCTCCCTATTACTATCTCAGTAGATGCGAGCAAAAGCGGCTTAGGTGCCTGTCTAATGCAAAAAGGAATGCCAGTTTGTTATGCGTCTAAGTCATTGTCAAAAGCCGAACAGCGATATGCTCAGATAGAGAAGGAGTTATACGCTTGCGTTTTTGCTTGTGAGAGGTTTCATGCGTACATTTACGGAAGAACAGATGTAGTTATCGAAACTGATCACAAGCCACTCGTTAGCATTATAAAGAAACCAATAGTAGACTCACCATCGCGCCTACAACGGATGTTATTGAAATTACAACGTTATACATTCAAATTAGTCTACAAGGCCGGTAAACATCTATTTATTGCTGACGCGTTGTCACGGGCCTACGAGCCGGAGCCAGCGTTGAGCGCGCAGCTTTCCAGCGCTGACTATACACAGCACGATGAAGTTTGCGCGATCACAAGATATATGGCAATGAGCGCAGCGACTGAAGTTACGGACTTGCAGTTTATTAAGTTGCAAAAGAGTTCAGAAAATGACGATGAACTCGCGTTGTTGAGAAAATACATAATAGGAGGGTGGCCTGCAAATAAGCATGACGTCATGGATTTGGTAAAGCCATATTGGGGCTATAAAGAGCATTTATCGATCGCGTACGGTCTAGTCTGGAAGGATCAAAGGATAGTAGTGCCAAAACTCTTAAGAAAAGATTTGTTAAACAAGATACACGTCGGTCATGTAGGGTTGCAAAAATGTCAATTGCGGGCAAGGGAGACAGTATTTTGGCCGGGAATAAATAACGATTTAAAAAATTTAATATCTAACTGTAGTATATGCCTGACGTACAGGAAACACAACCAAAAGGAAGAAATGCAACCTCACGAAATTCCCGACCGGCCATGGGCAAAAGTAGGTACAGATCTATTTCAAATAAAAGGTGTGGATTACTTATTATTAGTCGATTACTATAGCAAATTTTTTGAAATAGAGAAATTACAATGTACAACTTCACCTAGTATAATTGAAACCCTAAAAAACATATTTTGCCGTCAGGGTATACCGAACGTAGTAATGTCTGATTGTGGCCCGCAGTTTTCATCAAGCCTGTTTAGACAGTTTTCGTTAGAATGGAATTTCAAACACATAACTTCATCGCCACGATATCCGCAATCTAACGGACAAATTGAGCGAATGGTACAAACTGTAAAAAACATAATACTTAAAAGTAAAGAAGATGGAGTTGATTATCGATTGGCGTTACTAGAGTATCTTAACACACCTTTAGAAAATAATATTTCATCACCAGCTGAGTTGTTGCAAAGTAGGAAATTCAGAAGTATGTTACCAAAGTTAGATCACACTTTAAAACCAAAATTACAAAAAAATGTACATAATAAATTAGTCATGAGGCAAAATAATCAAAAATACTACTACGACCAACATACGAGAAATCTAGACCAATTAAGTAACGGACAAAAAGTAAGGGTACTACTAGATGTAAACAAAAGAGAATGGTTATCAGGGACAATATTATGTCAGCTGCGATATCGTTCATATAAAATAAAATTAGCAAACGGGAGCATTATTATACGTAACAGACGCCATATTATTAAAGATTCTCCACATCGAAAGGTCGCGTCGCGCTATACTTTAAACAATTACGATGATATCCAACCTCACTGCCCGCAAAACAATCAGGTTTCAAACTGTACTATACCTTCTGGAACCTCACCTAATACAGTAAACAACAATAATTACTATGTCACACGTTCCGGCAGGACAGTGAGGCCACCGGATAGATTGGGCTTCGAACACTGAACAGCGGTGATGAACATCTGCGTCGCCCAGTCACCGTGTTCAGTGAAAACAAAACTATAAACTGTAACGTACGCTCAAATAATGAAAATAAAGTATGTAAAAAATAAAAAATAAAATATGTAAACTATCAAAACCAGGCATGATTTTTTTTTGTATTGTTGGTTCCAGGTTCGACTCTCGACTGGACTTTAATTTGTGTTAGTTAGTATATTAATTTAGATCTATTACTTAAGAAATGAAATGTAATCGGTTTATTACTTTAAAAATAATATAAGTATTACTTAAAAAAAAAAAAAAAAAAAAAGGAATTGATCGGAAAAATAATAATTTAATTTAAGTAAATAAATGAACATTTCATACTCAAATTTTATTGTAATGCCAGTGATTTCATAATTGATTTTTCTTATTTGTAAGAGAGGGGAAGATGAGTAGTTAGAGAGATATACTCTCTATATAGATATTGATTATTATAGATGATCTCGATATAGATTCAGAATAATGTATTATTAATCAGAATAATTTGCGAATTTAAAATACATATATAATATTATATACATCTATTGTTAATCTACTTATAGTGAAAATACCTATCAATTGTCTTACTATTTTTGTGATAAAAATAGGCAAGAGTTAAATACCATTTAATTTTGTTTCTTATCATTAAGAAGGGAGATGTGAGAGATTATTGTAATAGTTTTTTATATATTAATTATATACATCTATTGTTAATCTACTTATAGTGAAAATACCTATCAATTGTCTTACTATTTTTGTGATAAAAATAGGCAAGAGTCAAATACCATTTAATTTTGTTTCTTATCATTAAGAAGGGAGATGTGAGAGATTATTGTAATAGTTGCGGGTGGATATGAATAAATCAGCCTCAGCTCGATCTCATGTTTGATTGCCGCGTACCCATGTTGACAACAGTCCACCTGATGGTAAGTGGTTGCTGCGGTCCATAGACATCTACATCTATCCTCTGTTACAAATCAAAATATAGATGCGTTGTCACCCGTGAGGACTAAGATGGAATGCCTCAATTCCAGTAAAAAGGGCCTCCGGCCACCTGCACTCATCAAGCGAAACGCAGAGGTAAACCTCTACTTCACGCTAGTTTTCTGTGAGGTCGTGGTACTACCCCGGTTCGAGCCGGCCCATCCGTGCGACAGCAAAAGCTGCCGCGTGGCTCTACCACTGTTAAAATTCAAACTAAGCGATTTTATTCTACGTTCATATTGAGTACAGCGGTGTGGCGTGCAATGATAATTGGCCAGGCTGAATAGTAATATATAATTAAGATACACAAGAGAGATTTATCATCTAGGGCCACTACTTACTACGTACTATCACTACTATCAGGATTAGGGAATTATTTTTTTCAGACACTGATTACTAAAAAGATAGTTAAAAAAATTACTGTAAGAATGACTAGCCCATTACTACTTCTTTTTCAATATCATCAATGTTAATAACAGCAAATACTAGCCTTTGGTACTCCTCGTGTAGCTGGTGGCTCGATGAGCTTGTCCTCGACGCGAAAGAACACGGAGGCTGTTGTTTGTGGAATCGGGTAAGATGCTGTCGGCTGACTGAAGATAGCCTGAATCAAGAGTTAATAACCTAGAGAATTATATCAGCGTACATATTAATGTAATTCTGGAGGCAGGTCATCCATTTTTTTATAGGATAGGGTGACAAAGCAGCACACAGCCCACCTGATGGTAAGTTAATGCTGTGGCCCATAAACATCTACTCGATTAAAAATCAAAATTCATATGCATTGTCACTCGTGAGGACTAAGATGGAATGCCTCTTTTATTGCCTCTCACAGTAAAAAGGGTCTCCGGTTCTCTTCACTCACCATACGAAATACAGCAGTTTTAAGCTGCAGCTATATTAAACTGCAACGTAACTCTACCAAGTAAAATGGCATATTACGATTTTTACAAACAAGTTGTTCTCTTGCTAGCTACTAAGACTCATTTCATGTTGAAAATTATTATTATTATTATTTTATAGGATAGGGTGACAAACGACGCACAGTCCACCTGATGGTAAGTGGTTGCTGTGACACATAGACATCTGCATCTATTCTCGTTTGCGAATCAAAATGCAGATGATCCTGAGGACTAAGATGGAATGCCTCTTTTACAGTAAAAAGGGTCTCCGGTTCTCTACACTCACCATACAAAATACAGCAGTTTTAAGCTGCTATTTTACACTGGTATTCTGTGAGAGCGTGGTCCTTCTCCGGTTGAGCCGACCCATTCCTACTACAACTATACCACAGAATTAATTAATTTAAAAAATGATACAGGAGTAATTCCTAGTGTCAAGTCAATTATTTTTGTTGAAAGTAATTAGAATCACGTTATATCCATGGAAAATTAAAGGCAGTCTGTATACAGCAGTAAGGCGTACTTTAACTCCACCATAGTAATTTTAATAACTCAGGTTTTTCAACTGGGAAGTCTATCATAAGTTTAGTAGTCTAGTCTATGTCCAGTTAAAGTTCATTGGCTGGATCCATCGATCACTAATAAAAAAACTAGATACATAATCCCATGCAAAAGTTCTCTAAAAACTGTCGTCAATTATTTTGACGTAATTCTAGTTGCAATAAATATACATCAATGTAAATTCAACCTTAAATGCATTGCTTAAAGTTATACAAAAAGCTATTAAATTTTACGACCGAGGCTCATCGCTTGGACAAGGAATGAATTTTATTACGACTAAATTTAAAAAAATATTTTACGATGATTTCTTGACAAAATATCATTATTTACAACACAGTGATAATAATTAAATAATATTAATACTTACCGAAAATATGAAATTCCATCAAATTTTTAGCGTCCTGGATGTGTGATTTTTACACTTTCTTAAACGATCACTGATGCATGTTTATCGTCGGAGCATTCGAATGCTACTAGATTGAAAGCGCACCCAAATGTTCGAGTGGGCGCTTTTTGGGAAGGACATTTTTTGTGTATCTAGTTTTTTATTGGTGTTGATCGATGGCTGAACCAAATTGAACAAAGGTATAAATTCCAAAGCATTGCTACTGAGTGGTAGTAAAGATTAGATACAAAAGGGATTTGAACTTGATCTTTAGCTGTCGCCGATTAAGAAAACAACTACGTCAAATAATCAGTATGACTGAGAAGGAAAAATATTTTCGTGGACATGATGTGAAGTTTGCAATCAGACCGGTTCGGTTTAGTCTGACGACACGTTTGCCTTCCGCTAAGATTTTATAGTGGTCAGTGACTGTAACATTTTGAAAAATGAGTCGTCTGAGCCCAGTTGTGTGATATAAATGCTGTAACTAAAGTTACAGTCTAATACGTTTTGGCACAGCCCCCTCAATCTTATTTCTAAGTGGATTTTAGGACAAGGAAATGTCCGTTACGCTGCACCAATGCGTGTTTAACCGAGTTACACGAGTAGTGTGAAATACATACACAACACTGTTACAAACTCACCTCAAAATAAAAGTACCGCGAACATTCATCCTTAGTGCTACCTTTATACTTCAAGGAATATCTGAAGGTGTCCGTTAAGCGCCACTTCTTCTCGATGGTGTCGACGATCAATTGTTCGCTAGTGATTGCCAATGGTGGCCTGAGACCTGTAAGGGGCACCTTGGCAGCGGAGGCATACACATCACGGCTTTCTAGAAACAATAACACGTTTGTCAGCATACAAAGACAATTACAGAGCACTTAAAGTCCTTTCGAAACCGATTTGAAAAATTCTTTTTCTGCCGACTTCCAAAAAGGAGACGGTACTCAATTCGACGCGTATGTTTTTTTTTTAATGTGTGTTACCTCATAAATTTTACTGGATGAACCGATTTGGATGATTCTTTTTTTATATGAAAGCTGATACTTCTCGTGTGGTCCCATATAAATTTGATCAAGGTCAGACCAATAGTGTTTGAGTTATTCTTAATAACTTATATTGTAGTCACCTGTACAAAATTTTTAATTTTAAACTATTTATTTCAAAGGGTATTTATTATACTTCGCAGGTGGTTACCATTTAAATTTTATTGAAATCGATCGAGAGGTTTTTAAAAAATAAACAGTAAATTATTAAGTGGCGAAGCTTGCGAAGTCACTTATTGATTTCACGATGTCTGTCCGTCTGTCCGTCTGTCCCACGATTATCTCGGGAACGGTTTCGAATTTTCAAATTCTGTTTTCAGCAATCGATTACTGATCACCCAGGCATCTGAACCTCCTATTTTGAAACTGATTGCTCAACGGCAACCGTTAGAAACCGCTTCAAAGCTGATTGCTTCGCCACTTTGCTATGCTGTTAGCTTGCTAGATTTATTCCATTTATATTGAAGTCGATTGTACAAAATTTTAAATTTAAACATTTGTTAATACTTTAGTACACTGACTTGCAAGTTGCCTCAGCGTCTGCCGAACTCCCAACTTCTCTTTCGCTCTATTTATTACGGACACTACTGCGTCAATCGCCTGATCCTCGTAAGATTTAATTTCTGGTAAATTCATTGCTTGTTTTGTAAATGTATATATATATCATATGTCAATATAAAATATATTTTTTACTTTAAACCACTACAAGCAATAAAACTGTGACATGTTAATATAATGTCAGAAGTGACAGTATAGATTACTAAAACATATAAGTGACAGGTTTAACAAGAGAGCTTTCCTATGGTAATAAATAATATCAACACCTATCGGTAAAGAGTACCTACATATTATGTTCTATGATATTTTCTAAATCATACTGAATATTTCTCTTCTACAATAAGACGCTCTGTCCCTCTGTCCTATTCATAGACTTAGAAGTCCTATGTCCTTTAACTCGAGTCTGTACAATAGTAATATATTATCTAAGTACACGCGTACGCGGCATTTGATAAAAGTCACCGCGTCTATCCACAGAACACAACTACCCTCTACTCTACCGAGAGCGTCTATATATCGTCCATGTATCTAGGTACTACGTAAGAAATACATTATGGCTGTTGAAAGTTAATCATATCGCTTGCGCATGAAATACCAAGACCGGAAACGGGGGGTACCTAATGTCAAAAGTGGTAGACGTCACATACTGTATTGATGATACAGTCAAGAGAGGCTCATGCCCAGTAGTGGGCTTTTAGGGGCCGGTGAGGATAATAACTATGTCCGTTCTGTTAAACCCGCGTAGTTGAGGCATAAGATAATCCATTAGCCCATCTGGCGGAATGCCGGAACAATCTGATGACCTTCGATATATGGTAGTATATCAAACTCGTAACATCCATCCATCCATTAAAGCCTATAAAAGTCCTTTGCTGGACACAGGCCTCTCCAACAGATTGCCTCACAGGTAGAATTTTGCCAATGTTGCCCCGTTTATCAGGCGGGTTGGTAACCGCAGTTTTTTACTACTTTGTTTTGTTATTAGGAAGATGTTAACTGACCATTATCGGTAACGTTTTCACTCTATCGCCTCTTACGATGCCTATGGTTAGTACAGCAATATACAGGTTGTCCCAGAAATCCATTTTCTCTCTATCAGCTATTATGTTGCCCATGGTTACGTGGACATACAGGATGTCTCAGAAGTCGACGTCAAGCCGGACTTGGGTAAAAAATGCTTTCTCCGGTACTCTACACTCGTCATACGAAACACAGTCCTTCCCTGATCGAGCCAACTCGTGCTCCAACTATAATAGCTGCACGTGTCTCTACCACGTTTGCAATTTAGGATTGCTACACCGGTTTGCAAAACAACTTTCAGAGAGAAAAACCGACAAAAACTCAAGCTTGTTTATTTCAAGCGCCTTGTTACAATTTCATTTTACCAACTTACAATAAAATCAGTACAATATCAAATGTTAACTATGGTGTGGCACTGTAAGAATATTCATTTACCCAAATCGTATAGGGAAACTGAAACAAGAAATGCCTACCCATTAAAGAAAGTATCTGGATTTGTGAATGTAATTTTTGCACTGTTTTAAGCGGTGAGGACTCTCTTTTTTTATAGGATAGGGTGACAAACGAGCACACAGTCCACCTGATGGTAAGTTGTTGCTGTGACCCATAGACATCTACATTTATATATAAAGAATAAAAATGTAGATGCGTCGTCACGCGTGAGGACTAAGATGTAATGCTTCTTTTTCAATAAAATGGGTCTCCGGTTCTCTACACTCATTATACGAAACACAGCAGTGTCAAGCTGCCATTTTACGCTGGTAATCTGTGAGAGCGTGGTGATTCCCCGGTCGTGCCGACCCATTCGTGATACAACTATACTACTAATATATCTGCAGCATGGCACTACCACGTAAAAAATGCAGCCGAAATTGCAAAAATACAATTTTTCTATCTAATTTGTAAAGCTACTAGATCGCGACTGACACTACTAGATGAGATAATGAAAGGAAGATAGCACAAGAGCGTGGCAAATGGCAATGTTGCCAACATACGTTCAATAATTTGCGTTCTTATGCTTAGTGGGGCTAATTAGAAAAGTCGTACGTTTATTAAACTGTAATAGTTTTAGAATAATACTATTTGTAATTCATTGCATGCCTAACATATTACGGAATGTCGAAAATTATTTCGTGATGCAGGTAAATTATTGTTTCGCTTATAAGAAATTAAATATAATATAAGTGGATAACATAACTTGATGTAATTTTACTATTTGAAATGCGATAAAACAGTTGCTTTTTATGGTTTCGTGACTTGAGTTTAAATACGTAAATTAATCCATAACTTTATAAATGTTTATTAAATCATGGTATAATCTAATTACCTTGGTTTCTATATGAATAGAATAGAATATGATGCAATCATTTTTATTCAACATAGATTATAATAAGTTTATAAGAATGTTTGAAAATCATTTTTTACTTTTACCACTGGTTCGAAAAAAAAACCTCTGTCTTGGGAAGAACCAGCAAGAAACCTAGCGGGACTTTTTTTAAAAAAAAGCACTATTTACAATATAATATTTGATATAATTATTATGAAAACATTTAGATCACTTCATTGCCAGGGGTTATTATCGGTTATGTACTCTTTAGTAGCATAATAACCCTTACTGGACAATTTTTGCTATTGATTAAGGTTGTGGGCTCTGATCACAGATAATATATAATTCTGAGACGATTTTTCAGTCATCACATAAAAGTTATCTAACAAAAAAATTATATTCTTACTGAATATAAAAATGGAACCACTGAACAATTTTATTCATACAACGTATATTTTTATTTAAATTATAAATTAATTTAACTAAAAAAAAAAAATTATTTGCTTTTATCCGATGATTGAAAAATCAGCTCTCAAACGTCTTACTCTCCAATATGTATTAGCAATCTATGGTCTATGCAAACCTCGTTAAAGGTAATATATAATAAACATTGGGTTTCTAAATATATATATATATTTATGTTATTACTCTAAGGGTATCTCTGAAACGGGTCTAATGATAACGGTATATTATAGATAATGATTTACTTTGCATGTTTATCTAGATAGGTGTCGTCCCTGTGATATTTATTTCTAACGCCGCACGAATATCATTAGTCCAGGTACTGATAATAAATAAAAAATAATTAAAAATTAAAAATTTTGTACAGCCGACTTCAATATAAATTATTAAGAATAACTGAAGAACTATTATTAAATTTATATGAGACTACATGAGAAGCACCAGCTTTCAAATATAAAAAGAATCAACGAAATCAGTTCACCCAGTAAAAAGTTATGAGGTAACACATAAAAAAACATACAGTCGAATTGAGTACCGTCTCCTTTTTGAAATCGGTAGAAAAATATGTAAACACGCGGTACATATAGTACACGTAGGTACACGTAGGTGTAGTGGCGGTGAAAGAATATTCTCTACCCCATGTCAACCAGGGTGTGACGTTAGAGGCGACAGAGGCAAACTGAACCAGGAGATAGGCAGCAACATCTGCCTTATAACGTTTGCCAAACGAGGCAACAATCGTAAATATCTCTCCTATGAGGTAATTAATGGGGTGGGATGTTCACCAGTGGACTATCGACAGGCTGTAACGAATGGATGGAGGGATGAATAAGGTAGATAGGGCGAAAGGAACCCTACCATATAGACAACATTCTTATGAATCTCACTGAATCTTATTTATTTGTATTGTTCATCAGTTCAGATTTTATACGTGGCAGAGCCATGCTGCAGCTATATTAATAGTATAGATGTAGCACGAATGGGTCGGCTTGACCGGGGTAGGACCACGCTCTCACAGAATACCCGCGTAAAACACCAGCTTAATGCTTCTTTGTTTCTGGAACTTACTGTTTACTTGAAAAGAGGCATTCTGTCTTAGTCCTCACGGCTGATAGATGTAGATGTCTATGGGCCACAGCAACCACTTACCATCAGGTGGACTATGTGCTCGTTTGTCACCCTTATTCTAAATAAAAAAAAGATCATAAAGTCTTCAGATAGACATCGACCTATCCCCGTTGAAGGGAGCTGCCCGCCACGTTTCTGAGCCTGGTCACAGATCCAGACGTCTTGCACCGTTTACAGTACTTCCAGTCGTCGCTCTTGGTATTTTATGTCTGGCGTAAGCGGAATGGTTGTACTGTTATCTGTCGACAGCCATAAAATATATTTGTATCACATAGTCACCTTTCACGACACTCAAGGGCCGAATTTTTTATACGTGTAGAGCCAAGCTGTAGCTATATTATGGCTACAGGACAATAAGTCAACATGCCCGGGCAGCACCACGCTCTAAAAGCGTGAACCAGCCGAATAAAGCTGCATTTTGTATGGTGAGTGTAGAGAACCGGAGACCCTTTTTACTGATAACTAGGTATTCCATCTGTTCTTAGTCCTCACGGGTGACAAGGCATATGCATTTTAATTCGCAAACGAAGATAGATGTGGATGTCTATGGGCCACAGCAACCACTTACCATCAGGTGGACTGTGTGCTCGTTTGTCAACCTTATTCTATAAAAAAAACTAGATTATTTTTTCTGTTTTTTCCCAAGGTGCCTGTGCAGTAAGTTTGTCGTTCCAGTAATTTTACTGCGAAATTGTGGGAATTATAATAATTGTCCATGTATATACTGTGCTTGGTGTCCACTCCTTCTTCGAGCAATTTCAGGACATCTTTATCCTGAAGTTCCAACGCATCTGCATTTTCAAAGTTAATCGAGGGTAGTTGTAAATGTTTATGGGCCGCAACATCAATTTACTATCAGGTGGACCGTGTGTTCGTTTATCACCCTTATTCTATAAAAAAAAAACGGCAACAGTTGGGAATGGATACTGGATTTAAAAGCTGGATTTAATAAGATATGATGGAAGTTAATTGCTGCAGGTCGCTCAGGATTGTGTTTTGTGGCAGTATTTAACGGGAGTTTATGTTCAGCAACGGACTTTCAATTGTGTGTGCAGTTTATAATAATTAAAAAATTATTCGATTCCTTGGGTTTGTTTTAAATAAACTATAACAAGCAGCTACCAAATGAAACCAAAGGAAT